ACCCCTCTGTTTAGCTTGGGTATGTGTTCAGTGCTCATCGTGATAATACCTAGGCATTTTCATGGGACTATACTCTTGGATACAGCAGGAACCACAGATGATCTGGAGGGATAACATGCTTGGGTGGGAAAAACTTGAAAAGGGGTATATGTGTGTGTTGGTTTGGATGAATTATTCATTTTCTCATTAACATATGTAAGCTTTCCATGCAAACATTATTAAAACCCTGCATTTAATACATTTGAGAGGCCTATTTATCAGCTCTTCTCTGTATGTGCATTTGGTTCACTTTCAAAAAAATGATAGTCATATTATGAACCAAGAACCCTAGTCATATTATGAAATATATTTGCTCCTGATCTAGAGCCTCTCTCTCACTTCCCCTCCTTCCCGCACTATTGGCAGGGTTTTCCATGCTTTATTTCTACATGCCACTAACACTGGAAATATCCTCTTCCAAAATTGAGATAACATGCCTCTTGCTGCAAGGAATAGTTTTGTTCTCAATGGGTTATTCCTCAAGTCAGAACAAGATGGCACACTTAGCTGCATATCATGGCAATACTGTTTCTGAATATTGGTAGATGTTGAGGCCGCCTGGCTGCGGGCGGTGATTTAGGATGTTGATATTCACAGCAAGCTATCAAATTCATGGCTAGTCCTTGAGGATTGCATCTCTTCAGGGAAAATAATAGATTGTATAACACAGTATAAAGCTGTGATATATGTCATAGTAAGGCTAAATGAAGCTGTCAAGCAGAGATTGCTCTGGGCAGTGCCAGGACTTTGCTGACTTCGGCGGTTCATCTTCTTGACAGCTCTTTGCTCAGGCTGTTGGGTCAAAATTCAGAAATGTTTATTGTGAGCATTTGAAGTCAGATCTGGTTAATCCAACTCACGATGGAAATGCCATCTCTACTGACATGGAAAAAGCCAGATTAGTAAACTAATGGTACATATCAGGCACGTTACATTAAGTCTTTTTCGAGACTGAAACATCTGGATGCCTACCAGCCCCGAAGGAGCTGGCTCTGATGGCCCTGGGTGCAACCCAGACTTCTTCGACTAGTTTTTTGCAAGGTTTTTGCTGAAGAGAATGCTAATAAGGATATGATCCTAATGAGACAGGGTGAAAAAGGGCTGGCAGGGACTGAAACCCTTTGCTTTGCATCATTAGCTGGAATGTTCCCATTGCTTGCACTGATGCCTCGTCATGAGTAAGACTTCGGGCAGTGAATTCTTTGGGGATCATGTTCAGAGCTGTGTTCTGGGAAAAAAAAGGGAGCCTTTTTCCCATTGTTGCATATACTTTTTGTGTGGTATGTGCACCTGCTGTAGTCTGCTTTTCCTGCCAGCACAAAGGTGCCTTGTTTGCATAGTTTTCTCTGAATACAAAATTGAAACGGCAGGCTCCGTGGCAGGACGGAGAAGCAAGAAACGAGCGTGTTCAGACTGGATAGTGATGGAGCATTTATTGTTCTGTAATGCTCAGATCCTTTCTGTTGATTACAATTACTGGTTGGCTGCAGCCAGTGGTGATGGATTGTGCGGAAATTAAAGTATGTTTTGGGTCTGTGGTGAGACCTCACCAAGGAAGGGAATTACTTGGAATTTTTATCTCGCTTATGTATGTGTTGAAACCACACGCTGAAATTTGGTTGCTTTCAGGCTTCAAATAGATATAGCTATAGATATATGGATATATGACAATACGTGTGTGTATGTTTATATGTGTGTGTGTGTGTATGACAATGTATATTGTTGTAAATGTGTGTGTATAGATATAGATACAGCTATATTGTCATTCAAAACTCAATGTCCAGACTGTCTCATGTAACCTTGCACCAAAAACAGGGCAGGGATGTTCCAGGGAGCTCAGTATTTAGGAATATCTGCCTTTTTTTTTAAGGCAATGAGCATTTTGCCTTTTGCCTCTGTTGGAGCAAAATTAGGCCAGTACTGTGCTAATTTGCAATTTCCACCTATTGTGCTTTCAGTTTTCACAGGCTTGGGCAACACTTTTTATTGTTTTTCCCCTTGGGGTCATTGATCTTCCCAAGTTTGACTTTGAAGAAGAAATTCAAATCAAACTTGCAAGTCTGTTGGGTGTCCAGAACAGGACTTCAGTGGGCTTTCCAGAAAGGGCAATAACCTAAGAATGAGTTGCTAACCATTCAGAATGCTTATTTTTTCCATGGAGGATGGAGAGATGCCCAACTTTTGGCATAGGACCCTGCGTATCATAGTCGACCAGCAATTTCCTATACCATAGTTAAAACTACCACTTTGAAGGCTTGACCAAAGACAAAGCTTGACCAAAATCTCCTCCTAAAACCCAGCATTGCCTTTTCTAGTTAACTCTTAGCCTGGATTGTTCAACCAAACCTAACATGGCTAGATAAGGTTTGCCTTATTTTGGGTTTTTGTTACAAAAATGTGTAACGTTTTTAGCATTACCATTGCAATTAACTTCGAAACTAATGCAGTTGTTGGAGTGACAGCCATAGCGGTCCGTCTGGAGTCTCATTGGCGTTGTCTGCTGCTACCGTATAGCCATGCCTTAGGCAAGGGAGCAAGGATGTGTTGTGTTGGGACTCTGTGATGGTCAAAACTTTAGGGGGCTCCCAGAGCTTGGTCACTGGAGGAGAGAGCAGAGATTTTGGCAGGGGCCGGCACAAATCGGGGTAGCGTTCACCCTAGAGGGATGAGTCACTGAGCTGGATGCAGGCTGTGAAGCTATTCTAGCAATTCGGCTGCAGGGTGACTTTTGCCCAGGGAACGTTATCAATCTTGAGGGTCATTTTAATGAAATGTTGCAGTTTGCATCCTTATTCAGCATGCCAGTCTGTTCCCATGCTGTCTAAAGTGGCCAACAGAAGTTTTCATCTTGTCTGGGAAACTTCTGCTGCTCCAACCTTGACCTTTCAGGAAGGAGATCTTTATCTTGAGGCTCCCGTTTCATTTATGCCATTCAAAATGTCCTGCCTCTTCCTTTACCCATCCATCACTCCACAAATCAGTCTCATCGTCCTTCTCTTTCACGCATTCCAGAGGTAACCCCCCCCCTCGGTATAGCACTCGGCTTTAAACTGAGCTTGGTAGCAGTCTTTGAAGACTAAAGGTCTATAGTATATACACATCCAAGCAATGCCATGGATAGATAGGTTGCTCTCCAGATTCCATAATGGATCCCACTGTGGATAGATCTCTAGAGTCCAAAACCAACTAGCAAAAAATAAAAACAGAACAAAGCCCCCAAATTAGTTCTCCCTCCATACATACTCACATTCACACTCACACTCCTTCACACTCACTCTTATTTATTCAAAGCATTCTTGCCAAAGACCATGTATTCCTAATAAGGCACCAAGTTATGTAAGGTTTTGATGCCTGTATACACACACTAATTTATTAAAGATAATGTCTACACTCTCTCTCTTTCTCCTATTTATTAAAGATCATGTCTAACACACACGTGTGCACACACTCTTATTTATTCAAAATAATGCCTTCCTAATAAGGCACCAAGTTATATGAGGTGTGCTGGGGTGATGGAGGGTGGGAGAAGACACAGAGGAAATAATGAATTACTATGACTAATAATGGAGTCTATTACTTTGCACATCATTTATTCTAATAGAGTCAGCCTGTCAACTGTTTCTTTCTAGACTGAATTCATTTTTCTAACCTGCTGTGCATTATTTAGGTTTTGAAGTTGGCATTGCCAACGTGCTTGTTGTAGCTTTATTGGGGGGAAAATTTTTGTTTTGTTGTTTTAAAATGGTTCTTAATGATGACTATTCTCATTTAGTGTCTTTGCAGAGTGGATACCTTTTGCTCACTAACTCCAGTTTCTCCTTTTTTCCTGTGCAGCGGAACCTGCAGATCTCTTGAAGGTGTTAGATTTTCCTAATTTACCTGACGGTATAACAAAAACAGCAGGTTTTTGCACAAGCAGAAGATCTTCAAAAGAAGCAGATGTTGCTTACCGAGTAACAAAAGATGCTCAGCTCAGTGCACCAACAAAGCAGTTATATCCCGGTAAGAGGAATGTCTTTTTTTTGTTTGCAAGTTGCCGCTAACGTAACTGGGGTTTTACCTTGTCTCCTTGATTTTTAAAGTTTGGGCACTGCATACTTCCTTGAGAGTGTGTGTGTTGGCTGGGAAAGTTTATGTTATTTTTGTTCAAGCAGACTGTCTAATCAGCTATACTTATTTTTCTTCACTCGAAAGATGTAGTGTCTTCATGTCTGTGGCTTCTCACAAGTTGGTATTGCACTGCGAAGAGAGGCCCGGGTGGTGCCCAGAGCTGGGGGATACCTTTGTTTTAAGTGGCTGTAGCTCTGAGCACAATGGAGCACTGGCCCTTTTATAAGGGGCTCTAGGGTGCTATCATAATACAAATCATAATCATACAACACCTCACAAGGACAGGTAATCGCAAGTTACTTTTGGACGAAAAGTCTTCTTTATTAGGAAAAATAATGGCATTAATATGCAGGAATGCACTGAGTGGCAAAGCTCTTATTAAAAATGAGCTGGGCCACTTTTTTTTTGAGGAAGCACCAATCCATAAGAAAAGAGCCCACATCTTTGCCGTATGGTAATTTTTTCTAAGTAGGGCCTATTGCTATCAATAATTCCCACCCGGTCCCAATTTCTGTAGTATCTGAGTGTCTAACAATACTGAAGACAAGGTTCTTTGGGTAAATGTGATATCTTTTATTAAACCAACTAAATATTTGGAAATTTTTTTCCAACTATTTAGTTGATCTACCCAAAGAACCTTGTCTACCTATGTCCTTAGTCCAAGATGGCTACAGCCAACACCCGTATAACAATACTGACTGCATTAATCCTCACAACCCCCCTTCCTAAAAAAGGGGAGTACTCATATCCCTATTTTACCCCCGGTGCATAGAGGCCCAGAGTAAGCACACACAACTTCCTGATATCATGCCTGCAGTATAACTGACATCATGCCTACGGTATAACTCCTAGATCCGTCACCTTCTCAACAGGGAAGTCATTGTTCCCATTTTATTGAGTCCCCATATATGTCGAATTCTCTTCATTTTCCATGAAACTCTGACCTGTGTAAGCACGTGCAGATTTGGTCTTCGGGCGCTGAAGCTCATTAGGCCGAATTCATCTCAAGTGGAGCACAGTCATGTGGTATGAAAAGTACCTTCGCTGCACAAGAACTAAACACCAGTAGGAAAGCATGCGTGTCCTCTGCAAAAGCAGCAAACTCCTTAATCAAGAGAGACAGATATATGCACTCCTTCAAAGTGATTACAGAAGAGAGAATGCTACAAAATCCATTAGCTAAATCAAAGGTAACACCACATGCCACTACCAATGCTGTGTAATTAAGCTGGTATTTCTATCAGACCCAATATTTTCTCAGTCTAAAAGAGGACTGAGAGTTGGTTGTAGAAGTGATGCTCGTACCCTACAGTCCTGGACTTGCTTGACAGGCGATTCTGTTATTAGGATGCTTTGGAGCTTTAATTGTTATTTGCAGGCAAGGGGATCACCCCATCACCACCAAATCCACAGGTTTCCACCTTGTCTTGCTGACTAGAGCTGCATTATTTCCCTCGCTTCCCCTCTGCGAGCTGCAGTCACTCCATCAGCTCACACTTCAGGTTTCCCCACTTTTATAATGGTGTTATAATGAGGAGTGAAAATGGGCCATTGCCCTCTGACTACTCTATTTTCTTTGGAGCAGCTCCTGAAATCCTTTGCTTGGTTTCTACTTGGTTCTTGCTCAGAGAAACTTTCCCTGAAAGCAGCAGGAAATTCTTGGGAGGCAGGAATAAGTAAAAGCTAAATAAGGGTCTTAGGTTTGGGCACTGTGACTTATCTTCAAGCCAAGAAATGCCAAATCATTGGCAGGCTTGAAAGACATTAAGTGGTTTGCAGGGCTGGGGTCAGTGCAGGAAAGGACACTTTTCCTGCTTCCACAGCTTGAAACCTTGTCCGGTGGGTTTTGGCCTACGTGGGTTTGCATGCTGTCAAGGTCCAGGGAGTCTGGGGCTAACGTGGTGGACAGCATCTTCCAGGAGCCAGTGCCCATGATCTTCCAGAACAAGCGACTGGATAATGCAGCTGCAGTACAGTGCATTCAACTCTCTCCAGCCCAAGGGAAGATGTTGGTATTGCACTGAAGTCCACCTTTCTCCTTGGCTGGAAAACTTGGAGGGGATTTCCTCGGAGTCCCTCAAATCAGCTTTTCCATCTCCTGGCAGGCTGGCTCATCATGCACTGGGTTGAGCAGCCTTGTCACTCCCCCGAGGCTTGCAAACTGGGCACATCTAGCATGTTGCAGTCTTTAGAGGAACGACGGTGAAGTCAAGAACAAAGAACCGGGTCTCTTGGATGTCATTCCAGAGCCACCGCAGCAACGCTTCTCGTCTGATCACAGGTGCTGTCTGAATGGACCCCCCATCACTACATGGGACTTCAATTCCCACCAGTAACCCAGTGAGAGGAAAGATAACGATAACGAAGCAATTGCAGACAGACTTACCAGGAGAAATGTGGCTTTTCTGATTTCACATTAACAGAGGCAGCGGGTGTGGGCAGAAGCTTTTAAAACATAGCTTTCCCTCTCTGCCACCAAATGAATACCGTACAGAATATTTTGTACTAATTAGAAGTTTGTGTTTCTCTAAGATGGTAATTTTATGAGCTTTGCATTCTCCCTCTCTAGCCACAGCCAACAAAGCAAATTTAAAAAAATAAAATAAAAGGTCTGAGTGTGTTTCAAACCCACAAGAGCAAGAAAATCTGCTGATACGTTTTTTTCCCCTTGCTCTCTAAATTAGTTCTTTGGTTTCCCTGTAAAACCATGTTCCTTCAGCTGTATGCAAGGGCAGGGAAATGCAGAGAAATAGCAGCAACAGAAATGAAGTCACATGCACTGTTTTCCCAAATCAAATACTCTCTGCCTTATTGATAGAAAAAAGCACTTACCTCCAATCCCAGTACATATATGTAAGGATAATATGCGTCCTAGATTATAACGGGACATTGCTTCAAGGTGAAGATGATTTGCACCCAAAATAAATGAACTTTGAGCAGCTTCACTAACAGCATGGGATTATATTAGGGCTCTGCTCTGGAAGGTGATTATAGAGATGACTTTCTTCCAGACAAATTGTAGTTTGGTCACGGGTCTAGCGTTGGCCTTGCTGACTGTGACAAAATTAATTTGGGCTGCTTTTTAAAGCCTCTGCAAAGCCAGTATGGCTAAAAAGAAACAAAGCTCCCACCTCTGCTCCCTAGATGCCCATTAGATATACCTGTGCAAAGTCCAAAGGAATAATCCAGGGATCATTAGGGCTCAGTTGAGAAGATGATGAGGTTGCACAGGTGTTACGTAGTACCAGGCACAGCAGCAAACTCTGCAGAGCATCATTTGACCTGTGAGCGGAGCACACTTGCATGAGAAAGCAAAGGAAGCCCATGTCCCACTTGCCAGGAACAGACCGACAGAACTGGTGTGCAGAACCGGTGTGCAAATGCATGTGAAGCGGGGCAAAGCCCCTTAGCGTCCTGGAGCAGCTTTGAGAGTGCTTCCCTAAGTGACCCAACAAGCAACGTGGGTCGCTTCTGTTCTCCAAGATGCTGAAGCGGCCATCGGCTCACTCCAAGCTCATTGTTTCAGCATGGAAGGGGCAGGATATGGTGAGATAACCTGGGCCGCGGTAGTGTCCCTTCTCGAATTGTGCAAAGCAGGGAGGTTAACCCTGGGCTCCCAAGCAGGGGTCTTGCAAGGAGC